TGTTTACATAAAACTTAAATTTCCACTTGTAATTAGGGATCATAGTTACAAGGGGTAGTCAATAAATAGCCTGTCAATCCTGTATCACTGATACCATCGTACTGACCATTTGCAAAACTAAAACGTCTAAACTTACATGAAACAGATACATGAAACAATACATTAAACAAATTATTTTAAACCAGAAATTAGCTATATAATGATTTTTAATATTAGAAAACAAAGAAAAATACCTTTTGTTCACCATACAATATAGTAATAAGCATATAATTTTTTTTGCAATATAATTTTTTAATGTTCTGGAAAAGCATATAAAAAGAAAATCTTAGAAAAATGAATAAAAAAAGGCAATTAAAATTTTCAAATGTGAAATATGGAATAACTACAAATTAACTCTCAATACTTTTAAATTAGTTACTTAAAACAGTTAAGAACATACACTTTAAGTTGTATAAATTGTAAAATGCCTTGTACGAAAGCAGATAAAAAAAACTTGCACAGATTGCGGCAATAGGGTCAGCACTGCGCACAGGCCACCTTTACTTCACAAACAAGATGGTACCCATTGATCTGAAGTTGGGTAAGCTTCAAGCTGCCACCAGTAATATCGAAATTAAAGCACAAAATATCACTAAAAGCCCTTTTTTTTAAAACTTAAACACTGAGTATTTTTTAAAAAAAATTGAGTAAAAATAGATAAAAGAAAAAAATCCATGGCTTTATTTTGCTTAATTATTTAGAATTGGAAATATGAAAAAAAAAAGCTAAGAAAAGGGGTAATATTCTAGCTACTTTAAAAAAAAGAAAGAAAAGAAAAATGCCTCATATATTAATTTTGCTTCATAATTGTGAGTAAGAAATTGAAATATTTTTTATAAAAATAAAAGAAATTTCTTACATTTTCAAAAAAATTAATAAAAATTGAAACTTATTGAAAAAAGACAGGTTACCATTATTCAGTCATTATAAAACTATTGTGTTTCACTTCATAAAAAACAACCTTTTTTACAAGGAATTACAAGAAAATTATTCATTTATTCTTAATTCAAATTATTTTAATGGCACTTAAGGGCATGAATATTATACAGCTTGAAATAAATTAATTAAATGCTCAACTATAAATGTAGTATTAACTATTTTCTCATAAAATAATTCATAATTAGCTCTAGAACAATCACTTAAACCTAAACTCTTCTTCTATATATACAGTATATATATAATTTATACATAAAAAGCAACATATTCAAAAATACAAAGATGAAATATTAACAAAAAACCAAAAATTATTAAAAGCTTTGTTTAAACAAGTAGCAATAAATATTTACTACAATCAACAGCAAATAAGATTAAAAAATTTCTAGAATAATAAGTAAAAGTATTTTACAAGACATAAATCCAAAAAGCAGACAATTAATGATTTAGCAAAGTTAACTGACCTATCCTCAAATTGTTTCATTATTAAAACAAACACAATTTACTCAACTAAAAGTTAAAAATTTCGCCCAACTAGCATATGAACAGGAGGTTGTCCGCAGAATTTATTGCATAATGGATCCAGATTAGCCCTTTTTAGAGCCATTTTTTCCCCAGTAATGTCAAATTAAAATATTTTTCAGATCCAGAAAGATTTACAAAAAAATATTCATTTAGCTTATTAGTAAAATTAATTTGATTTTAAGACCATTTTGTTTTCGGTGGAATAGGGGGTGAGAATTACAAAAATTTACCAAGAGTTAAGAATTCACCATTAACTTGGTGCTTTTGTGTGTATAAATAACCAAATTTTTAAACTCTGTGTTTATAGTATCCAAATTTATGCGTATGGGACGCATATGGTAAAACTAAAGATGCAGAAAGGATGGAGCGAAGTTTAAATGTACATGTATAATTTTCTTGAAGTTAACAAATGGCCGCACAAACTGTATGTGAAAAGAAAACTTCCAATAGGCCTTTAAAAATTACAAAATTTTGAGGGAAACATACTTCAGCTTTATAAAGGGTTAAACATATTTTACTAGCTACCGAGCCTGAGACAAATATATTCATATTGAAAATGAAAAGGCTTGCTATTATCACACACACAAAAAACACAATCGATGCAAATAAAAAATACAATGTAAGAAATTAATGTAAATCACAGATTTAGAATGGAATAAGAATACTTAACTGAGATTCTGAAGGTAAAAATTTTAAGAGAATTGATTTGTTTCAAAAGAAAGCAAGACTGACTATTAAAGCAAGTTATGCACTTCAAACTATAAAAAGATAATTTTTTTAGAGAAACAATATTAATATATAAAAATTAATTATTCATTTTCAAAACCAGCTTTATCCATCTTCCCATTGAAATGAAATCAATATTCTTTTAAAAGATTGCAAAAATTATTGAAAATTTTTCACCAACTTTTCCATAAAAAGAAAGTTTTATTATTTTTTCAATTAATATCACTCAACCACAAATTAAGGAAAATCAATTACCACCAATTTTCTATATAGAAAACAGCATAATTTATGTAGTACCAAGTCAATTAAAAATATTTTTTTTAATTAAATAAATGTTTATTTATTTATTCAAAATCAAAACTATCTTTCCCTAAACTTCATGGCTTTCAAGCTTTCTCATAAACATTTAACCAAATGTAAGCAAAATATAGAGTTGATGGGTTTTTTAAAAAATGAAAATTACTTCTTATACTATTCGCAGATTAGTTGAGAAAAGTTGTTTAGTTTTTTAAAATGTTTTTTTAATTCTTGATTTTTAAAAAAAAATATCCTATAATACATAACCAGTGAAACCTGTTAGAGAATTTTTTTTTATTAGAAAGAAAGAAAGAAAATTTTAAACAGTAAAACTTTTTAAAAGGGTAAATTAAAATTATCATAAAAGTATGTTTATATATAATAAAACTGATGTATAGAAGTTCTTATTTGAGTTATAATTCACAGATTGAATGACTCTAGTTGAATATCAACTTTATTAACTAACTTAAACATTAATAAAGAAAGTACACACTAAAACCAATTCTAATAAAGTAAAAAATAGGTCTTTTTTCACCATCTTTGACAATCTGTAGTTGAAAATATCATGAAATCTTCAGTCGCCATTTTAAATATTTAAAAAAAATGAAAAAGATTTTTAAACCATTAACAGAATCCGATACACTACGAATTTCAAATACTTATTTCTTCATGTTTAACTGTTACATCAATAGTATCCTCTATGATTCTCAATCATGACACATGATTTTCTGAAACAAGTGTGAAAGTCAAAAGACTGTGACCAGAGGTTTTCCCGAAGAATCCAATTGCAATAATGGATTTTGAAATATGTCTTATTTCTAAAGACATTGGTATACTTTTTTGTGATAAAAAAAATAAGGTTTGGAAGAAAAATTTACATTCCGAGAAAGCTTTTCAACCAGGAAAAATTTTAAACCCAAATTTCCAAAAAAGATTTCACTAAACAGGTTTCACCGTAAATACAGATAAAAGGTTTGGATGTCAAAATAATAATATAAAAGCTACATGATACTTAAATAGAATGCATCATTACTGTATGCATACATCAATAAGCCATTCTAGAATATATATATAAGCCTTCTTTATGAGGTTCTAGACAAAATAAATAGATAAAAAGAATTTTAACATTCAAAGATATCTTTTTTGGATATAAACTAGATAATTACTGATAATTAATGAAAAGAGAAAATAAATTAAAGATAATGAATGAAAATATAAACTGCACTTACGCAATAGAATTAATGTTGTAAGCAAACATTCTTTTTTTAAAAAAGGAGGGGAATATACAAAAATTATAAGCAATTTCTTTTAAGCACAATTCCAATATATGGAACAATGAATGTATATATATTGCAACATAATATAACATAAATATACGTTAATTGCTATTTTGTAAAAAAAAAGTTTTGCTTTAAAAAAGAATAAAAGAAAATAATTAAAAATATACTTCACCCTACTAAAAATAAAATCATAGAATTTAAATATAAGCAAAATAATACATAGTAGCAAAATTTTATTTAATACTAAAAATTTTGAAACATAATTTAAATATATATATCACACTTCTAGATAAATGTACCAAAATTAAAGTTTTAATAATACTATTTGGATAATAAACCTTTTAGAAACAAAAGCTGTTAATCTTGAAATTTTAACAATTGACATTTAGCAAAATATTTTTAAATTATTTCAACTCATTTTAAAATTTCAATGCAATGATTTGCTGTCATTTTAATTTCAAGCATTAAGTTGTACAGATTAATGCAGCAATTAAAACAATAAAACAAAGTAAACAAGTTCTAGCACAATAAAAAACAAATGCTTAAATTTATAAAAATGCATAATTTATTAAATAAAATTTATTTAAATGGGGTGGAGAGTGACTAAACATAATTTACATAGTTTGGCTATTAAATCAAATTTTAAACAGACACTTTAATTTGAACATCTTGAAAACACTTTGTTTTTCAATTATTGAATAAATAATTATCATTTTAAACTAAAATTTAAGTGCTTTTTATGTGTGCTGACATTCTATATAGTTTTAAAATTTAAAAAAAATATATATATAAACAATTTTACCAATACAGGACCTACATTGGCCGATATAGAACCTATATTGGCTGTTATTTTGCTGTTTGTTAATTATTTTACAGCTAAGGTATCAATTTAAGTATCAAACTAAATAAAATAAGTTGTAAATTCATATCCATAATTAGTTACGGAATTTGAACTTAAATAAAAATGGTATGTAGATATAGGTAGCATAATAGTGAAAATGTAAGTTAAGACTAGTCATATCACTATTTATATCTATAATAAAACTTAAAACCTATCTCTCTCGCAAAAAAAATAAAAAAAATATTATGTTTATTTAAGTATTATATTAATTTTACAATTTTGAAGAGTAAAAGATCCTTTTTCCCAGGGCCATAATGTCAGTAGCTTAATATGAGTCAGATTTTTGTTAGTTTTTGTTAGTAATATAAATCTAAAAAGGATATACAACTAACATAAGTTAAATAATATCTCTTTACATTATATGTTCAATATACATTATAAACAAATTTTTACAACACTTATACATGTTAGTATATACACATTATCAAGTTTTGCTAGATATAGGAAACATCAAAACCTTTGCTCGCATAAATGAAAGATCAGGAAGTTGGTCCAGCACAGAGTTTGCTTCTTCACTTATGTTTGGTGGACGGTGGGCAGTTTTTGAATTTGGGAGCGAACAAACATTTTTTGAAAGAAGTTCTTCTAATATAAGAGTTTTATTCAAGCTTTCAGAACATGCAGGCAGAGGACTAGGTTTCAAAAGCTCATTCTCAAAACCTATAAAGAATTTAACATGTTATTAGTGCATAGTGGTCACAAACACTAGAAAAAATTCTTTGATTTTTCTTACAGATTGACTTTATCAAATTTCTCTGATTTTGTAACCTATGGCATAAAATATTATGTTATTCTTTACTCCAAAACATAAAATACAATACAAGATACTTGTACATGCCATTACGGCTGAAGACAAATAATTTCTTTTAATCAATTTAACTGGGGATAAAGCATTAACTTTTAAGTACATAAAACTTAAAGCCACAATGGCTAAGTGGTCAGGGTCCTGAACTGTTATTGTGAAGTAGGGACCAATCCACAGAGGCAGCTTAAAGCTCACCCAGCTTTAGATCAATGGGTACCAGCTTGTATGTGAAGTAAAGGTGGCCTGTGCACAGTGCTGATCCATTGCCACAATCATACTGTTGGTCACGAAATTGGAACCTCCATGATCTCCTGGCCCATAACGGACTGCTATGAGAATGCTTTACTTTTACACATCTATTGATTCATTTTCCGTAACTTTCAAGAATTTTAGTTCAATTCTCTGACATTTTCCTGTTGTTTTTTTTTATTGATGAAATTCTTTGACTTTACCTTGTTCTGTGGCTATTCACAAAAAAAGACTATTTGTTTTATGATAATGTCTCCACAAGGGAACGCCATGTACTACGTAAAGTCAACAAATTATGACGCTGGGAGGCATTATACCAAACCAGAACTATTTTATTCAGAAAAATTGAGACAGCCAGGAATGTAGTTGTTGGTGTGTCAAAAACTTTTTGTGTGTGATTTTAGGTAGCAATACCAGTTATGAAAAGAATACTAAAGGAAAGGAACCAAGCAGCTCTCTCAGTCTATTCATTCAGTGTCTGAAAGGGACTCGCAATCAAACTTGTTGCAAATTGCAGTTTGGTCAACATAACACAGTCAAAGCAATAAAAGTCTTGAGTCCCTCACCCACCCCACAATCCAGATCTCTTATCATTTAACTTCACTTTTGATGAGCTTCAAAATGCACTACAGAAACATTATTTTTAAGCAGACAAAAAATTAAGCTGTTAGTGTAGAATCAGCCCAAACAGCAGGCAAAGGTTTTATTTTTCTAATATAACATTAAATTTCTAGCAATACATTTGGACAAAAGTCTAAACAATAGACAGTAATGTTTTTGAGCATGGAGTAAATTTCATGAAATAGACTTGCTATTTATGGCTTGCTATTTATTCATTGCAACCTGCACCTTATACTTTGCTCTATTACATGGTGCCCCTCTAATCTGGAAAAAAAATTCCTGTGTTTTCCTAGTACATAATATTCCCGGTATTCTTATATGAGCTATATAAGGATAACTGTACTAGTTTTAATTGGTGGGAAAGTTCCCCTAGCAACAATTTTACCTTGAGATCAATTGGGCTTAAAATTGGCTCAATATGTGTCCTATATGTATATGCACCAAAAAACCAATATTGGGATGTCTATATTTTTTAATATTGGTCGTATATAGGGGAAATATCGGATTTTATAGGGGACAACATATGGCTTACATTGGCTGGTCAATGAATATAAAATATCGAGTGAATCTGTTAATTCTATATAGAGCCTATATTGGTTATAAAGGGGCTGTAAAATATAGGGTAAATCGGACAATTCTATTTCAGGCAAATATCGGGAAAATAATAGCTCTTTAAACCCTTATTGAGCCAAGATTTGTGAATATTGGCCCAATAAGGGATCAAGTTATTTTGCTGCAAGGGTCAGAGAAATAAGAAACAGCTCAAAATACTTAAAACAAATAATGCAATAGTAAACGAAATTTTATAGCATAGCAGAACTATCTTTAAATACCTCATAGTTTGATTTGTGAGGTCAACATTTTTTAAAAGATCAAAATAAGAAAAAAAAATTTCTTGTATTTTTTCCAGTTAGTAAATAAAAATTCAAAGTCCCCTGAATTTTTTCTGTTATTTTATATGATTTTTAAATTCTTAGTATTTTTCAGGTTTTCACTGTTCTCCCTGTAGAGTGGCAACCTTTTATTACTACATTTTGAATTCCCTGATTCTTTTACATTGATAAAATTCCACGACTTTCCCTTGTTCTGTGTCTACCCGGATATAAAAGGGTTTGTCGAATGCTTTACCAGCAATATGAAATTTTAAAAAAAAATTAAAATGAAAAAAAACTCACTATGGTTGTCATTTGAAGGAGAGGTAGCAGTATCAGAGGTGGCAAGAAAGGAAAGATCCATAAGCACTGAAGCAGCTTGTCCGGAGTCTAAAGGATTCACGAGACCACTGCTGGTCCAGTCAAATTCTACAGGTGGAATTGGGTCCTAAAATTATGTACTGTATTTATTAGGGATTGTATTAATTATGTATTGTATTAATTATAACTTGTATTTATTAAAATTCAGCATTTAGTCATTTCATTCAAATTCAGTATTTAGTCGTTTCATTCAAATTCAGTATTTAGTCATTTCATTCAAATTCAGTATTTAGTCACTTCAAAATTGACAAAATATTAAAAATCCAAGATGCAACATTACATAACCAAATCTTTCAACACAAAATAAGCACCTTTTAAGTACTTTTTAAGCACTAAAAATTATTTTAAAGCACCATATACATTAACAAAAACAAAATAATTTTGTAAGACTTTACATGATCATAATTAAATATATAGTTTCTGACAAAGAACTCTTTTCCTAATTATATTAGTCACCACAAAAAGAACGAGAGATTTTTCGGTTTGATTTCAAAGGGTGGAAAATTAAGCCAGAAATTGAGAATATCTTACAAATGAGTTGCACATGTGAGAGCAAGAATCTTACCGAACCCAGTTCAGTATACTCACATGCGGACCTGCAAGTATTTCATTAACATGTAAAATTACTTGAGTTTTCATAAGCTACAGACCGAATGTAAGCTAAAATGCATTGTGTTTGAATGAATTGTGAAAACATTGAATAGAACAATGTGGAAACCGCGCTTTTGCAGAATGCGTGGCGAAAATCGACATGGTAAAGAAAAAATCTTTCTTTCGAAAAGGGAAAATTAAGCACTTTTTAAAAACACCCTATAAAAAAGCACCTTTAAGCACTTTTCAAAAATGCTAAGCACCTTGGTGTCATTTAAATATTTTGTATGGATAATTTGTACATGGACTGAAATTACTGCTTATGGGTTAGTCAAAATCAATTTAATAAGTGTTACAAGTGTAAATTATAAAAAATTTATTATAGTTCCAGAATTAATTTTTTAATGTATATCTTAAATCTAAAAAGGAAAATTAAAATCAATAAATCATTTTAAACAATGCCAGAAAGAAATGGAACTTTAGTCATTTTCAAATGCCATCGACTTCGAACTAATATTTTCCTTTCAATGCGCAAACTCTGCTTCCCCCACAAAGAATCTATCTCAAGCTATAGAAAAAGAAAAAAAATTTCTACTACTACTCAGCTTGCTACACATTAAATAAAATTTCAAACATTTTTAATTAAACCCTCCTTTTTATGCAATTTAAAACCGGCAATCATTCTGTTTCATAATATTTGCCTTTGACAATTAAAAAATATCTGATTACACATTAAATTTTGATTAACCTTAAAAAAAGAAATAAACAAAACAATGTAACATTGGAATAATGAAATTAATTAGGTCTAAGAAGAAACTCCATGGGGTGAAGGTTGAGAATCAAGTAGACTGTGCAAAAAATTTATTATTCAGTGAATAAAATATACTTTAGCATGTTCCTAACAATTAAAACTACATTCAAACTAAAACTACATTTTTGCAATCAAAACTAAAGAAATAGAAGTCACACTCAATAACTTTAAAACATTTAGGGTAAAATAGCAAATAGAATACAACTTCTATAATCAAAAACCCATTGACCGGATAATCCAGATAAAAATTGAATATTCAATGTGAAAAACAAAGAAATAAGTACAAATGAAAATATATTCATCTCCTTCATAAAAGCTTAAATGTGATGAAATCTTTTAAAATGAAAATATCCATTTTAAGAAAATTAAAATATTAAAGTAAGTAAATAAGAAAGCAGGATAAAATTTAAAAAGAAAATTAAGGAACACAAACTCTGTAACAATTCTATCTTGAAAAAAAAAAAAATATTTTAAAAAGGCCTCAGTAAAAAGCGTCAACGAAATAAACGAATCTTAAAATGGGCAAATGAAAAACATGGATAAAGTTTCCAAATATAAATTACAGCTAAAAAATATGAACTTTGTAACAAATATTTAAGATCTCAGTAAATATTGATAAGAAGAAAAAGAAACAAATCTTAGAATAAGCAAGCAAGGAAATCAGATAAAACTATCCAAGTAAATTACAGTTAAAAAAACCTTATCTCAGAAACAGACAATTACATCTCCTTCTTGAAATTAGAATGGTTAAGCATTTACTTTAGAAATGTTTCTGTTTGATACAAATGTTGATTAAGAAAAATAAACTAATCTTACAACGAAACCAAAAATTTATAAGATTGATTTCAATGTAAACAAATTTAACTTGCCTCCATGGAGGAAATAAATGTAAAAAGAAAAACTTAATGCTTTATCAAAAATATGGACATGAAGAAAACACGGCAATCTACAGCTAAGGAATAATATCTATTATAAATAGCCCCTTTCCTCATAGAAAATTTAAAGAAAATTAACACTTTTACTTTAAAAATGCAGTTAGAAAATTATAAATTTTAAAAATCCACCCTTAAAAGGTAAATAAACATAAAAATTTCCAAAACAAATAAAAAAACTGAACTTGTTGGAAGAAAAAACTTAATTAAAAAATTAAAAAATACAAAATTAGTTACATTTAATTTACTTTGTTTATAGAATTTGACCTTATATGAAAATATTTACTCAGAAAATATTCTGGAAAAGTAAATGTAAAAAGAAAATCTTAAAAAAGCAAGTAAAAAAAGACAATTAAAATTTTCAAATGCAAAACACAGAATAAGAACAAACTCTGTTACAAATTAACTCTCATTATTCTTGAGCAATGTAAATGAAAAAATTACTTGAAAGTGCGTTTAAAAACATACACTTTAAGTTGTATAAATCATAGAAAGTCCTGTAAGAATGCAGAACAGAATTTCATAAAGAAATTTTATGCAAAACAGCTTTGTTAAAAATTGACATGTTTCAAAAATTTAGAGAAATCTTAGAAGAAAAAGAAAACAAATAAACAGGTCTTCATTAAATCTTAGAAAACCGAATAAAATGTAAAAAATAATTTTTTTTTTTTTTAGTTTACAACATGAACATGTTCCGTGACTTTTTAGGCATACATTTGTAAATCTATGCCAGAATTCATAATAAATAGTAAGAGCAAATTTAAGTTTATCAAAAATTATATGGAAAAATTATATAAAACAAAAATTTATTATTTAATTTTTCCTAAAAGTTAACTAAACTGTAATATCCCTGGGCAATAAAATGAGCAATAGCAACTAACAATTGAGCTTCAAGTACAGCAACTAACAATTCAAAATAATTAAGACTGTTTTACTCCTTTAATTAATTTACAAAGAAAAAGCAAAGACAGCTTAGTTCTTACTTTTTTGATTTGAGAGATGCAGTAAAACTCTAGAAAGGAAAAAATAATCTTCAATTACATAAAAGATGGGTAAGGTTCAAAATTATGTTAAGGAAAATAAAAACTTCTCAACTGGACCATTATTAGAAGAACAAAGGAAAAAGCTGATATAATGCTAAAATGCAACGTTGCACTAAACATGGAATAAGCAAAGACAGAACAGAGAACCTAACAAATTAAATAGAGCCCCTATTCAAAAGAATGAAAGATTTTGAAAATGCAAACACAATTGCCATGCATCAAGCAGTTTGAGGAATAAAACACTAACAATATGGTAAATGAAGAGAAAGTTTTAAACAATATGTGCCAGTGGAGAGTGAAGGAGGGTTCTATATTAAATTCACAGGTAAGAGATAATGTGCACTTCATGAATCATAATTAATGACTGGAGAAAAAATTAAATACCTATACAAACTAGAAAATTCATTAAAATTGCAGAAACTAAAATAAGTTATAATGTATGCATATTTGAAGAGCTTAAAGGTAAAAAGTTCTAAGTGATACTTTTGAAGAAATTTTCCCAAAATTGTCATGGAAATATTTGATTTTTCAATCTCATTTACGTAAGCAAATATTTTGCAACTTTAAAAGATAAAGGAACTGAGTGAAAATCGCAAAAATGTTTCAAGAATGAAAGAAGCTTCCAAGTGCATTTTGCAACTAACTGATCTCCACAACCTTAGAAAACCTCCATTTATAGGTTAAAAAGACCAATAGTTTGAATGCTAAGACAGGATGAGTTCAAATGAGCGTTAGGGATTCCGAGATAATGCCTATTAGATCATTTCAAAAGAGAAAAATATTATCTCACAGCATGAAGATTGTTCATCATGCAACGAAGAACAATAGATAAAAACTAATTTATTTAAATTCACTTAATAGTCACTTAGAGAACCTTCATCCATTTAGCTCTTCATTTAAATTATTTTTTCAAACTATATAAGCTTAAAAATTTAAAACTCAGAGAAGTAATCAAACAAAGTAGTGATAATCAATAAACCATCCTCTTCATCGATATAAATTAACAATTTTAAATGCAGATCCAACTGTACATACCTTTTACTTCAAAATTTTTAAACATCTCTGTCATTACAAAAATATCGAGTTCTAAAAGTCAATATAAACCCAAAAATTATATTATAAAAATTTTAAAAGAAGTTAGTTTTATAATTTAATGCAAGAGCAACTCTCTTAGCAATTTTCTTTGCAAGAGCAATTTTCTTACTGTTAAGAGTTACGTTTAAAATTTATTTAAAAAAATATTGTACATATAATCTCCTTTAACACTGCTTATGTTTTTTTTAAAATTAAAATAAGTAATTTGATCTAAACACTTCAAGGGAAAAATATGTATAAGCTTGGTCAACAACAAATTGATTTTCATACAAGGTAAAGTTTAATTACACATAAGATTATAAGAGATCTTTATTCAAAAATCCACTATAAAAATAAATTACTCTTACGATGATGCTCCTAAAATACACAATTCTCAGAATTGTTACAATTTAAAACTAAAAAGCAATTATAATTCATCTGTTTGAATTTTTCTCTTTAAAAAAAATTTATAATTATTCAGTATTATTACAAAATTCTAATTATTAAATAACACATTCAAAAAAACTTTTAGAATACATTTTGAAAAACTTTCAAACACTAAAATTTGGTCTTGAAAGACTAACGTTAAATAAAAATGCTATTTACCAGGAATTAAATTATTAAAAAACTTTTTGAAAAAATAATAACTTAAATGACATTGACTCATTAATAGATATTTTAAAACTGAGTCAAACATAAAGATACACAAAAAAGTAATTACAAATAAACTTACGTTTAAATTCTGGATTTTCCTTCTATCTTCTGATTCTGCATTAACTATTTTTGCTTGACCCTTTACTGGTTCTAGAAGACTTAGACTTGAAGCGAATATTGGGACGGACGAAGTGCGCAGCTAACAATAATAAAAGGCTGAGTTACTTTTTCAATAACTATAATGCTACATATGAACAAAACTACAATATTTCTTTAGAAGAAGAAAAAAATTTAAAAAATGTCTTACCTTTCTCAAATAAAAAAGTCAGGTTATAGAAACAGATGAAAACAAAACATTAAATAGTAAAAGAATTTATTACAATCCATTTATAGTATAATTTATCTATAACACATGCATTCTTTATTCATTTTATTTTTTTTATAAATTTTGGTAATAAAATAACAAATAGAGCAAATAGTTTTTTTCACGCAATTACATAAGTATTAGACATATTTCAAATAAATATCATTAAAGTAACCATAAATTCATTTAATGCCAATATTCTGTAGAATTTCTAGTTATTGAATGTCTGATGATTCTTAACAGATGAAAAAATATGACAATTATAATGTACCCTGTTTAGTCATTGTATAAAAAGACTAAACATTCAATAGAATGACAAATGCTCTTTGGGAAATGTAAGAAATATTAAAATTATATATAAATTGTCTAGTAGTTGCATAAAATGCTCTAAGATTTTTCTTTAGACATTATAAAGAACGCCAAGGCAATACGGGCAATATTAATCATTATTTACTTTGTTATTTGCCATTAAGTCATTCAAAAAGATGTCAAGGAAATGCATGAAATATTAATCTTTTCATATTTCAAGAACTAAATAGATTATAATAATAATTTGTCTGATTATATTAGCTTTATATCAGCTGTTCATTGCACAAATTAAATAACTGTACTCTAAGAAAAATCTCAAAATTAAGTATAACAGCACTTGGTTCAGCTGTAGTTTTCTGTATTTTTAATAATTTTTTCAAATAATTGAGATTAACACACTCAAAACAACAACGTTAATCCATCTGAACAATGAATGATCATTTCAATAATATATAAGAGAATATATTTTATAATATTTAAGGGAAATAGCCCTAAAACACATGTTTTTTTTTTGTTTTTTTTTTCAAGAACTGAATTGAACTTAGAGAACAAATATTTCAATAAGCATCATATCATGGTTTTGGTTAGAATAGATTTTTCAGACATTGCAAAAAATGTTATGTAAAATGTGTAAATATAAATCAGTTGGAAAAGTGATGGTGCACGAGGTGGATTGAAATATAGTTCAAATAAAGTACTATATAAGCTTGATATAAAGCAGTTATATATATAGGAGCTACAACCATAAAAAACTAATATAAATTACAGCAAAGAAGTTTCAAATTACTTTAAATTTTCAAAATATTTCTTTCAGTATTAACACAGTAAGTGCCCTGTCTCCCTAATTAACTTGTGACAGTGTGTTCGTAGGGCTTTGAGTTAAACTTGTTTTCTCCCAATTATATGCATGTATTATGTAATTAATTATTTAATTAATTGATTATTTAATTATTTAATATTTCAAAAAGTTTTACAAACTGTTGTGTATCGTATTATATTTTATTTAATTATGTCATAATTGAATTTTAAAATCTGTTTACAAAAGAAAAGAAAAAACATTTAAAATGGTATGTAAGAATAGTATTCAAGAAACATTTTAGCATTTTCCTAAAGCTTTAAATTTGATTACAGCCCTCAGTTAAAACCCTGAATATCATAAGAGAACCAATGCAAGAAAAGAAACTTCATTTCATTTTATAAATGTAAGGTATTCAATTCAATCTATTACACAGGTGCTCAATTTATTGATCTTGAGATACAGGTGTTTTGCAGATAAAGTAAAATTCCTTGCGAACAAAATCTTTCAACTCAAAATGTGTAACCTGACATTTCCTGGCATATAGGATAATACTGCACACAACTAACACAGTGGCCTGATGGTAACATCTGTATCAACATATGTAAAATATAATAACAAAAAACTAGTTGTGTTAAAAGAAAAAATTCAACTTCAAAATTCTGACAACAATTTGTATTTTTTTTGTAAAGTTTGAATAAAAAATAAATGTATACAAAGAAAAAATATTAGATAATAAAAGCATATTTCTGAATAAACATGTTTTTAATTGTTGTCATCCAGTTTTTGGTGAAAGAACCATAAACAGCTAAGCATTACAATATAACTCAACATAAACTTAGTTTTTAATCATTTAAAAACTTTTATTCGTCATTGTATCATTATCAAACATGTATGAAAAATAATACTTTCTCCATTTTTAACTAACTTGACTATTAACTTAAAAGTAAAGACTTATCTTCAAAAATACACAATTCTTTTTTTTATATGGCAATAATTAAAACTTTCAGTGAGTGATTTAAAAGTTACATATTTTTTTTTTTTACAAAAAGAACTTAATTGATTCAGAATTTAATTAGCCATAACATTCAGATTTTTTTTAACTATTTAATTCCATATGAGTGAATTAAAAAATGTGTGTACAAATTTTAAAAAAAAAACCACATATTCAACTAATATAAAATATTTAATATTGACAATAAATGCATGCAAAAACATTAAATATAAGATAAAATTAAAAAAAAGTAATTTTCCGAAAAATCTTTGCTAAAAAAGGGGCACTTACACACGAATTTTAAGTTCTTTTTAGCCATTTCTTAAACAAATAAATTAAAAAAAAAAAAAAACTAAGTTACTTTGAAAAAAAAAAAACATTTAAGTTATCTTCATTGAACCAAAAAACAAAATAGCAAGAAAATTAAATAATATTACAAGCATCAATAAAATGCTGTAAAATAATTTAATTTATAAACAATAACTTCCAATTCCAAATTTATTTTCAGAATTTTCTTTTTTATTCTATACGTGCATCGGAACATTCATAAAAAAACAAAATATGAGAAAAATATACTTACAATACTGTGATAATCAACATTTATAGATCGCAAAAGTTGCTGAAAAGAGTGTGACACACCCCACTGAAAACGAAGGCTTGGGGCTTGCTCAACTTCATGCAGTTTCTCCCATAGCCTATGGCTGAAATATTCAAATTTTTACGAATTGAATTATATCGGCTAAGATTTTTTTGACAGTAAGTTTCAATATTATTACTATACACAGTAGATCTTTATAATACAGATCGTAAAATATGAGGCTTCGCATTTTATAGAATTTCTAAGCATGGAAACAATATTAGTATGGGACAAATCAATCATAATATGCTTTAAGATAATTTTTAGATACTAATACTTAAAAACAAAAATATATGCACTTCAATATTATTTACAGAAAAAATTCAATAGCAATCACATTTTCTACAGCATCAGAACTAAAGGCAAACAAATTTATCAATATTCTTTTGATTTGTCCTTTGAAATTGTTACCTCTTAACAAATAATTAAGCAAATAATGTAAAAAGTAGTAGTTCTTGCTTAATTAGACATTTGAAACTTCAAATTTTCACTGTTTACGCCCTCAAAGTTGATGTAATTTAAAGAGAATTGTGATTTATAGACATGTGTTATATCGAACTTCTACCGTAGAACAAAATTTGACTCCAAAAAAAGCAACAAATTACAATTCAAATGAGGTATTTCATAAATATTAAACAGCAAATAAAACACCATTTGAGTATGTCATTTTACTTTTCCAGTATAAGTTAATATCTATAATTATAGCCAACCATGTATTAAAAAAGGTATATTTCACAAAGATATCTAAACAAATTGTATTTTTCAACAAACAAATGTACAAATGTATCATTTAAACTGAAATGAAAGGACAAACTTTAATTTTTATAGTATTTTTTTCCCCTATAACCACTGATTCAGTTGCTTTTAAGATGTGGATAAAAGGCTATTTTAGAGTCACACTCAAAGGTCATGTGTTCAGATGTGCACTTTCAGATGAGATGAATTTCTTACAAAACCTCAAGAGTAAAAGAGAGAGTAAAAACACTCATAATTTTTAGAATCAAATGTTTTATTAGCTTTTAAATGGATGTTAACCATGGATGTGTCTGATGGACTATAGCAGGTGTGTTGAACCTTGATGCACCAGTGTGCCATTTTTTCTAAAAAAATTGTTTAATGGGGCCATAGACGTGCCGTCAAATAATTTTGACTTTGTGATTATTGGGAAAATATTAATGCTAAATAATATCAACACAAAACTCTTCACTTACTATGAAAAATAATACATTTTGCAATGTCTCAGTTATATGCATAATTCAACTTTAAGTAACATCAATGTGAGTTCTGTTGTTGCAGATTAGATGACAAATAACTTATACTAGGTTGTAAGATGTTAGTTCAAGCATTACTGTTAATTTTTTGCTAGTTATTTATTGTTAGCTTGTTTTTTATGCTTATTAATTGTTTTTTAGCATTAATTGTTAATTATTTGGTTAAAAATTGCTTATTTATTGTGAATTTTAATTTAATTGTTAATATGCTTCATAGTGAACTTTTTGATGGGTGGCGTGCTCAAAATATTGTGTCGCGTGCCATTTAGAGCACGGTTCATTGGTTCGCAATCCCTGGACTATAGCATGTTTAGAATTCAAAACTGTGATATTGAAAATATATACTAGTAGATAATTTAATAACATTTATTAAGAATCCTGTTTCTAATCAAATCTGAGAAATATGTAGTTTCTGCCACCATAATGGTGTTAAAAAAATTTTAAATATGGAAACATAATTTATTAATATCATTGGTATGATTTGTACAATAAAAAATGCCAATGAAATTGTTTGTTATTACTGTAGCACATTAGAATATTTAAATTTGATCATTAAATAAAAAAAGTGTATGATTGAATGGTAAGATAAAAATAATGACATTCAGAAACTACAAAACCAAAGCAAAGTCAACAGAATCAATAAATTACAAAAATCTAATTTAATATATTAAGTTCTTAATTTTACATTTCATTCCTAAAAATTTAATGGACAATGAAAATTACTTGTTATATATACAGTTCAAGCTTGACAATGCAAACACGAAGAGAGATATTAAAAATTGTGTGATAGTGAAAATTTATACAGTCGAATCCCGTTTTTGCGAAATTCGAAATAGCGAAAATTTCAAAGTAACAAATGTTTTCCGAATCCCCAAATGTATTTCCATGTGAACAATGTATAAAAATACCGATATTACGAAATCAATTATCCGATTTAGCGAAGGCGAAAATGAACACCAGGTCTTATTTTCTTTGATGAACAAGACACATTTCTTCAAAAATGTTCTCAGAAATGAAATGTTTTATCACCCTTAAAATACTAATAAGTTTCAAATGTGAAAAACCTGTCAAAAAAAGAATCACTGGAAAGAGACCACCCTGAGTTGACCGTTGCATTGATTCATTCATGTTTTAAGAAGTCAAAATACACATGCTTTTAAAAGAGGGAATTCTATTCAATTGAAAGGGCTTGTCAAGAATGATAGATTAGAAGTGACCACCCTTAGCAGAACAATTCCTTCCTTGAATTACAACAATCTAAATGGGGGGGAGAGCTGTTCTAAGAACTCAAGGTGTAAAAGGGGTGTAAACAAGTTTCAGAAAATTACCAGAGTGGTGTGCAACTTCAATAGGAGAAGGTCAGTTAAATCAGTTTGTCTGCTTTCAACGTTAGCAAGCATTTTGTTTTCCTTCTTAAGCATAATGAGTGGTCAAAAGCGTAAACAATTTTCCATTAAGGAAAAACTGGAAATTATTTCAGAAGTTGATCATGGGATAAAAAAAGCTGACGTTGCGACAAAGTATGGACTATCCCCATCTACTCTATCTACTTTTTTAAAAAATCGAACGAAGTTGGAACAGCAAGTGCAATCAGCATTGATCGGATCACATAGAAAAAAGATACGACTTTCAAATTTTCAAGATGTAGATGCAGCTGTTTTTACATGGTTCCAGGATATTCGCTCCCGAAACATTCCAATTTCCGGGCCCCTCATTCGTGAAAAGGCTTTAGAATTTGCAAGAACTTTTGGAAACGAAAATTTTCAAGCAAGTGTTGGTTGGNCCTTGGCCAATTTGGAAGCTGTAAAGAGATATTTATCGGCACAAAAAAACTTTTCAGATACTTTGTTTGAACATGTGCATAATTTGGAAATTTTTTTAATTTCTACTGGTTCTAAATCATTTGTTCAGAAAAAAATTACTGATTATGTATCTGCCTAATTAGTAAGTGTTAATAAATTCATTGTTTACATTAGTTTTGTGCGCTCTTTTAATATTACATTGATATTTTCCCAAATCTAGATTAAAAATATAATATCAAAACTGTAAATTGATTTTTCATACGAATAGTAATCCCAATGTTACGAAATAATATTTGTTTATGTTGAAAATTCGTAATATCGGTATAACGAATTTTCATTATTGCATAGAAATAGCTTCGGTCCCATGGAATTCGCTAAAACGGGATCCGACTGTATTAAAAATAAAATATTTTTAACAATTCAGCCAAATATCTGAACTGACATTTTGAAAGTTGCATAGCATGTATATAGTAAAGCACTGAAAAATTGTTTCTCAAAATTCCTTGGAACTCAGGGGTACACCCGGAATACAATCAACACTGCTATATCTGATAGAAGACCGATTATCCGGACCAAATGGAACCAAAGCCAAAGCAGATAACGAAAAATTTGGAGAAACTTTAGAAAATGGCTATGAGAATGTTTTTAAACAACTTATGTTTACACTTTTTTCTATGCCTTTGATTGGTAATTGTAGTTGTGCCTATTATAGCATATTACAAACAGCATGCTTAAAAATTTTAATTTTTTTAAAATTTTATTAGAAATTCTGTAACTTTATTTGAAACTTTACAACTGAAACTGGGAAGGAAGAATATGAGGTTCTTTACTCGGTCGGCAATGGCCAAAAGAAGTCATTTTTCGACCCCTTTTAGATATTCTAAAAATAAAAAAGCATTTTGCGTGATTTCTTTTCTTTTTTTGGAAGAAAGTAGGGAAAACGTATTATGCTTGAACAATCCAGTAAATGGGTGTTTAGATAATTGGCGCTCTACTCTACATACAATTATACTAAAATTAAGAAACGTCAATGAGTAATTAAAACTGAAGTTACAAATTTCCAAAAAAAATCATACCTTTTATTACTGTGTTCTAAAATTTCTGTAGGCGGATCACAATCATCACTAGATTCACTCACTGGTGGAAAAATAGCATTTAAAACAGTAGCTATTTTATCTAAACTTTTATCCTGAAAAAAAAATTTCACATAAAAATTATCAAATATTATATTTACTATATTAAAAGTATATGTATAACTGGCAGCAATGAATGCTCAATAGACTCTTTGACTCACTCACTGGCTGAAGAAAAATTGTGCATGATTAATGAATTTAAAAATTATTTCCTTTAATTAATAAGAAATTATTTAAAAATTTATTAATCAAACGCAATTGTTAAATTAATACTTAATTAAATGAAATTAATTAAAAATTATGTATTTAACATTTTATTTCTTTAAACCGTCTTCACTTATATTTTTTATTAGGCAACGATTAGTTTGGAATTTCAATTTTACAATAAATATTAATTAATGATTAATTGACCATAAATTCTGCCAAAATGATAGTTAAAGAAATTATTGAAATTACATACTTGTGTCTGTATTTAAACTACAACATAACTATAAAATCTGAGTTGTCCTTCATAAAGTGATACGAAAATGTATTGAGTATAATTATAAATGCTTAGAAAATTACATCATATGCATTATAATTATAATTATAAAATATTAAAATTATCAGAAAAAACATACAAAGGTCATAAACGCAGTTAATTTACATTCATTTCAAATTATTCCCTTTTGAATTTTAAATTATCAGAATGATAGCAAAATTATAATTATAATATAGTTATTTATAATTATATATAATTATAAAATTATATGTTTGTGTCATATTTTTTTATTAAAATAATTATGCTTTTTAGCAGCTCTTGATGTGAATTGCCTATANATAAAATCTGAGTTGTCCTTCATAAAGTGATACGAAAATGTATTGAGTATAATTATAAATGCTTAGAAAATTACATCATATGCATTATAATTATAATTATAAAATATTAAAATTATCAGAAAAAACATACAAAGGTCATAAACGCAGTTAATTTACATTCAATTCAAATTATTCCCTTTTGAATTTCAAATTATCAGAATGATAGCAAAATTATAAATATTTTGGTTTGTGTCATATTTTTTTATTAAAACAATTATTTATTAAAACAATATTATTTTTTTTATTAAAAGAATCACAACAGCTCTTGATGTGAATTGCCTATACTACATTTTTGACCAAGATTCTTAATGACACCACTAAGTAAATACATTAAAAGCATTAAAACCAAAAATTTCACTGTTTAATGTGCTAAAAACTATTTGTAGTATAAATTTTATCTCTGCACTTTAAGCATAGAAAACATAGGTATAAAAAGACAAAGAGTCACTTAGTTTAAATAAAGATAACATTTATCAATAAAAGCTTGCACAAATATTGAGAACCAGGAGGTCTTATAGCCAGATTACTGGGAAAATAAAAATTAAGCAGTAAAAAAGATCTTAACATACATAGCTACAATGCTCTAAGTCAATAAAGATGCATTTTACTTATGGGAAACATTTTTGCATTGCATATAATACTATAAAAATGAACATTTTAACAGACCTGAGTAGATGATCCACAAGCTAAATTCGAACGAATTTCATCAGAACTAAATGATGCACTTTCAAAGTCAGCAAATTGAGGAGAGTCTGACTGTGCCTTTTCTTCAAATGAAACAGATTCAAAATTGGCAAAATCCTGAGTACTAGAATTTTCAGATGCATCACATCCTTGAAATTCATCAAATTCATCTGCCTCATCTTCTACTGGGTCACACTTCCTGAAATCTTGAAAGTCCTCATCACCTTGTAGAACTTTAGAATCAGTTTCAGAAACACCATTCTCCATGCAGGCACTAGGTGCTTTGCTGAAGCCTTGAAAATCATCAAAATCTTCATCATACTCAGAATCACAATTTCCGGAATTGTGAACGTTATTAAAATCTGTTCTAAATTCCTCATCAATTTTACTTTGAGATGAGCTTTCTTTAGAAATAATATCACTATTAATATCAGTTACTTGAGCTTGGTTTGAAAATGCCTGCTGAAAGTCATCAAAATCATCATCTTCAGCTGCATCAAAATCTACAGGAAATTCTAAATTTTCGGTAACACAACCACTCTCTTTTAGAGAAAATTCTAAATTTTCGGAAGTAAAATTATTTTCTTTAAAACACTCGAATGAAATATCACTATTTTGAGCCTCATCAGATTTGGCATCACAGTCTGCATAATTACTATTATTGAATAAACCACAAGGATTACTTTGATCTGTGTGTGATAATTTACTGTTGATTGATGTTTCAACTGGAATGGTAGACACAGAATCAAATGACTCATTATCATCTTCTAAACATAACTTCAGTTGTAAGGGCTCTGAGCTTGGAATGGTTTCCTCTCCATCATAAGAATCACCAGAACTTAAAGCACAGGAAGCATCACATGAAACAGAATTTTTAACCGATTCAGGACTAAATGTTTTATTTACATTTGAATCAGTTGGGGAATCGGGAAAAGGAGGTTCTCTTTCATCACAGGTATTTTGTTTATTTACATGAACATTTATTATTTCATCCTCATGGGATAGATCATTCAGGTGATTCGAAAACTCTGAATCGTTATAAGAACATATAGAATGGAAATCGTTTTTCAGGCTAAGATTGTTAACACCATTATCTCCAGTTTTGTAAGATTTGTGTTTGCTGGTGGCAACAGGGCTGTCAAATGAAGAGTCAAAAGGAATATTTCCAAAGTCGTCGTCATCGTCATCAGGGCAATCATCCAAAGGAGGTGGGCTCGATGAAAGCATAGGAACAAAATTAGAAGCCATTTAATTTAGATGAGTAGAGTCAATCTATAAGAAAGAAAACGTAATTGACAAAGAGGAAAATAATTTCTAAATAAAATTGTAAGCATTTTTATATAATGTTTCTTTTATAACAAATTCTATTTGGGGATTATTTTCATATTGATACTAGTTCAAGCCAACTATCATCATGAATGTGCCAAAAAGTTTTTGTACACAATGATGATTGGAACAGACAAATCCAATCATAAATTTAGTCCAATCATAAATCAGTACCAATCATAAATTTAGGTGATTTGGCAACTTCTGAACAGCAGACCTGCATAATAACACAAACATGCAAACGCCTTTCACAGAAAATTTGTCACCATCAGAGACATTTTTTTACTATTACTGAAAAAGAAGAAATCTGCCTTTTCAAAGAAAGTTCTTTTTTTTTTTCAAATTCCCTAGAAAAGAAATTAAATTTTACACTTTTTTCTACCAATGCAAACATGCCTTAAAATTACAATAAAATATTTCAAATTATCACTAGCTGAACTCAGAGTTAACAGAGTAATATAATTTAACAATTAGAAAACGCAAAAATTAAATTATATAAATAGTAAGTTCCATTTGCATCCCGTAAATTAAAACACTTTTTTAATCTGAGAATTAAAATTCAGAATTAAAATTCAGTAGTAAATCAAATTTTTGAAGTTAATTTAAAAATAAGTTAATAAAGTAACATTAATTTGCATGCATGTAATATTAATTTATGTTAGGACCCCACATTAAAATCAATGAATTGAACGTTATGTTTATTGGCACTATTACCGAAATCAGAGTCAACTTACTAAATAATTGACAGAAAGCATTCTTTAAAACTAAGGAGACTAATCTTGTTGCCTTAAAACACTTTTTAGATTCTTTAGACTTTTAGAGATTCTTTAGACGATAGACTTTTTAGATTCTAGATTTATGTTAAAAAACTTTATCTTTATTATATTTTCACAAAATTCAATTTAATGTATTTTAGATATTCTTACTGCAATTAAAATTTATCATAATATACTTTTCTATAAAAAATTTCAGTCATAAACTTAAAAACATTTAAACAATTTTCATACCTGTAATTTAGCTAACTCAATTTAGCTACCTTTCAATTAGCTAACCTTTAATTTAGCTACTTTTCAGTTAGCTAACTCAATGGTATCTGGTCATACTTTTTTCATCATACAATACTTGTAACTGCCATTGTGTGTCCTAATCAGCCTTATTCAGGATGATTATGATGTAACAGCTCCAAAAAGGTAGATTTAAGAATCATTTTCAATGTATGTGATTTATGAATACATGTGATCACCAAAAAATGAACCTAATCGGAGAAATGAATTTTTCTGCAAAAAATTCACTATTCCGATTGCTTTTTCCTCTATGGCAATTAGAGATGCATAAGACTCATGCAGTGTGAAAAGTCATTTAGCAATATTGGGCACTTTTTAACTTTAAAACTATATATACCAATTTCTCACTGCTCTGATTAAAATCATATCACTTGTTTAATAAATGTCTTTGTTTTTGTTTTTTTTACATAAGTACAACTAGTTTGTTTTCTTTATTTCAATAATGTGATATCATAATTCAACAATACACAAGGCTTTCTAAATAAAAAATATAAACTACCATAAAACTGATCAATTTATATGAATAACAATAGTCTTTTTATTAGATGGTTGCTTTCCTGAAAAAAGTTTGATGAAAAAAGTTTGATGAAAGATGGTTGCTTTGTTTCTTCTATCTTGGGTAATTTGAGAAAATTTAGCATCTCTACATATTCATGCCAATTTTGACCAACAAGATATCAAAAAAAAAATTTACTTGCATAAAATTTTTAAAAATAAAATTATGAGGTTTGCTACCAGATTTTTTCAAGTTACATTTTAAGTTGAAGTTATTTTTTAGAGAAAATTTCCATAGCGTGATCTGTGGCAGCATAATCACCAAGTCTTGGCAACTTCTGGAAAGCAGCCTGCCAGAAACTAAAAACATCACAGAAGAGGACCAACTTAACAGGCAAAACAATTACCATCTTAAAATCCACTTGGCACCAAATTATAATTGGTGCAACAGATCATGATACAAAAATATCTTCTTTTTTTTAGTTTTTCAAAGCCAACTGCCTAGAGGTTGCTAAAATTTAAAATTAATTTTGGTGCAGATACCTATACAAAAATTTTCCCTCTAATTTAATTTGAACATAATAGCTCACACTTCAACTAAATGGATGCACAATAACGAATGCAAGAAAAATATATTATACTTAGAATCGTTAAAGTCTTTCAAAGGAATATAAATCAATTAAATTAGCGTTGAAAGTTAATAAACTCACAGAATGACTCAGAATTCAATACTGCTTTGTAGAAATGATTTGTTCGAAAAATAATTACACAACTATAAAGGCCATTATACAATTATATAAATAATTTTAAAATATCTGAGAAGATTTCCAAAAACGAAGCGAAAAGCGGCATCGAAGAAACGAGAACTAAGAATAATGTGAACTCGAAATATAAAACAAGTGGCTACTCTATTTGCCTGACATAAAACTAATTTAATTATAAATCAAACAAAAACCTTTAATGATATTTAGAAGCTCCAGATTTTTAATTTCCATAAAAATTAAATACGCAAAAAATAAATAGATATTTCTTTAGAAATAAAAGAACAGAAACGTATTGCTCATGTCATACTGTACGTAGTTTGATTATTTAATAAATATAGCCAGCTCCATATTTTGTGACATATTTTCAGCATGGAAAGAATAAAAGTCACACCAATAGAACTAATTTTTAATAAATATTGTCTAGCTCTAGAAAAGGAAGAAAAAAAATATATGTAACGTTTCCTTAACTTCCAACAAAATTTTAATTACAGAAACCGAAACACACCTAGTACCTCTCTCATCTTGTAGCATAACATATTACACAAAAACTTCGGCTACGACAAACACTCTTCCACTAATAAACATAAAAGAAATTAAGATTTGCGAAACTGGCAGTCTCTAAAAATTTGAAAAAAATATCATATGACAACAGTAAACATATCAATAAATTTTCATTTCGTACGATCTTTACATGTCATGTTATCTGGTCCGCAATGATATTTAAAACAGTTACAGTTTAATTAAATGTGTTCTTGAAGAGTAAAGGGCGGGGTTAACACCACGGTAGCACAGTAGCTTGATACTGATTCATGATCGGACCACTCGAATGCGCCATCTACCAAGGAGAGCAAATCCATGTCTTTGCCTCCTCCTTCTTCCTTTTCTCAGTTCATGTACTACGATATTTTTCCCTTTCTTAATATTTTTCGTATTTATTTGTTAAAAGTATTTTTTTAAATTTTCATGACGCTTTCTTTTAGAACTATATTCAATGCAATTTTCAGTTCCATATAGTTTCCTAACTTCAAGGTTTTTAATCCATTTGAGAATCAAGACTGAAACTAACATACTTCCTTCTTCCATGACTCTCCCCATGCGAAAAAAAAAAGGGGGGACATGTTAAATGGTGTTATAGGTAGAGAGTTATGCTCTACGACACCCGTAGCCTATTTCAATTGTCAATAGTAACAACACCAGGCATTGTTACCGAGTTCAAGGTTTCAAGGTCTTTTCTGAACATAACAACATAAAATAAAGCTCTTGGACTGACCTTTTCATGTAGGTGCCGCACAGATTAAACATCGCAACAATTAAATGAAAAGAATTTGAAACTGTATACACTTTATTTACGAAATACTAGATATTATTTCAGAGAATAAAACATATAATTCCATGCCTACTTCAAACGACATATTAGTAATGGGATACTCTCAACTCAAAAGGAAAAAGACCCCTGTTATACAACCATCTGACATCTCGGAGGCTTTGCACATGCTCATACCTATTTGTAGATGAGTCTAAACCAGATTTGTTTGCTTGCAATCGAAACACATCATCATTTCGCATGTGCAGATCATGTATAGTTATATTGATGCTATATTGATTTTCTGCATTGTTATACAAGTTTTAAATGAATTATAAATAACCTAAAAGGGTGGGGTACGTACCAAAATAGGATAAATCTTGATAGGGTATGTCTGGAGAACTTTCTAGGTAAAGCGAATTTTTGCACACAAATATAAAACTCATTTATCCAAAGATAATTCCATGCAAAAAATAATTTTTAATAATTATTTTTACTTTTCAAAATTCTATTTAGCAATGTCAAAGAAATTTTAATTGAGAAGTATAAAGTTTATTAAAGGAAGCATTTCAAAGAATGACATTTCAGATTACAAATTAGAAAATTTGTCAGAAATCAATCAAATGGTTCTCAAGAAATCAAAATTTTTTAAGTATAGTATAAAAGTATAAAATTTATAGTATTAAGTATAGTAAATATATAGTATTAAGTATAAAATTTTTTAATGGAAAATATTTTTAATTCACTTAGCTGAAGCGTACAAAAGTCGTCGTCATACTGTTACATAACGCCATACTGTCAACAATTATTAAACATCATTATTGATAATGATGTTTAATTAATGTTGATAATAAATATTTATTGAAATTAAAAAAATAACCCATCTGCAAAAAAAGCAACCGCAATCGCAACGAACTGTAGGGGGCGTTGTGGTATGAGACGAATGCCTGCGATTTCTATATGAACAGACATCTTTTCTTTAATGTAGCGTGTAGCATTGTAACGTTCCTTCCTTATTGGGGCTTATTAAATTTAAAAACTAAAAATGTTTGATATTCTTTCTTATGCAAGCGAAAACAAAATGGTATTTTTTTTTTTTTTCGAGAAGGAACATCCAAAACACAGCGGAAAAATATTTATCTAAATTAGAAATATCTATCTATATTAGAAAAATATGTATCTTCTTATTAGAGTTAAAACCTAATGCCTGCGAAATGATTTTACTAAATTTAATGATATAACATGAAAAGCCTATTTAAACTTTACATTCCATAGTTTTATGCAACATATTACGTAAAACATTAAAATATAAAAAAAGTATACATAAGCCTATAACTTTATATAATTTAATTTTGCAAAAAAAAGTTTTTTGAGAACAATTTTTATCAAAAAATTTTAAGTTTCATTAAAAATCATTATTTATAAACTAAAAAACGCCAAAATAAAGAATGCCTACGAAACAAGAAAAAACGATTCTAAAAATTCCTCAAATTAAAGTAAAAATCTTTCATGTTTTATTATTATCAATCGGACGTAGAAAACCATTCGATGGAGAATTATCATCAAATTAGAAAAAAAATTATTTACAAGTAAATTTTTTATTATAAAAATCATAACACTTACCTGATTTATAAATCTGGAGAATTCCAAAATGATATGTTCTTCGTCTGAAAACTTTATTGTCAAATAATATATCCAAAGATTATCCCTTCATTACTTTAAGACAGAGTGTTTCCCATAGTGTGGTACGCGTACCCCCAGAGGTACGGAAACAGTTTAAAGGGAGTACACGTTCTTATGCGCAATATCTTGCAACAAACGAAAATTTCAAAAAAAATTATTTAAAAAACAAAGCTAGCCATGAAAATTTACAATTACGTACTTTCTTTTAGCTATTTTTTGCAGAGTTAACAGTTAATAATTATAATTATTGACTGTTTATTATGCAGTTTGTTGCAAGTTTGTTGATAATAGAAGTTAAAAATTACCGAGAAATGTTTCTTCAATTATTCTTCATCTGAAAACTTTATTTTCAAATAATATATACATAGATTATCCCTTTATTACTTAAAGATGACATACCACACAATAACATTTTATAATTGCAAGATCTCGATATGAATTGCAATATGTAACATAAAAACAAAATAGAATCAGGTAAGTGTTGTGATTTTTGTATTAGAAAATTTACCTTGCAAATATTTTTTTTTCTACTTTGATGATAGTTCTCGATAGAATGGATTTCTATGTCCGTTTAAGAATAAAAAAACCACATGAACGATTTTTATTTTAATTTGAGGAATTTTTAGAATCGTTTTTTTTTTCTTTTTTTGTAAGCATTCTTTATTTTGCGTTTTTTAGTTTATAAATAATGAGTTTTATTGAAACTTAAACTTTTTTGATAAAAATTGTTGTCAAAAAACTTTTTTTGCAAAATTAAATGATATAAAATAATGAGCCTATGTATACTTTTTGCATATTTAATGTTTGAAGTAATATGATTCATAAGACTATGGAATGTGAAGTTTAAATCGGCATTTTATGTTATATCAATTATTCAATAATTTCAACTGTAGTTGAAATTATTCTTCCAAAACTAAAAAATACTTACCAAGAAAACAATAAAAATTTATTATTAATCAGCACAAATGATACTCAAGTAATTCGGATGATTCTTTATTGCTGTTTTCCAAATTATATAGATACAGAAATATCGATTATATACTATTCTATAAATAAGAAGAATATTCTATTATTGCAGTTCTGCGCGTTCTGTAATCATGTTTACTCATTGGAATAAAGTAAGAAATGTGTTGACTTCACTTTAATTTGTAATGAATTGAAGACCAAAAAAAAAATTTATCTTACCGTAATGCACACATCTGTAATAGTATGAGATCCCGAAATCGGAAGTTATCAGTTGCAAGTTTGTTGATAATAGAAGTAAAAAATTACTTAGAAATGCTTTTTCAAATGCTGGGAGCGTTCTATTTCTGAAAGATTTATCTATGTACTGAATCGTTTTTTCAGCCTTTTCTTTAGGGAAATTTTGCTTCTTATTTGAAAATGGCGTCCGACTTTGCCAATGATTATGATAGAACTAAATGCCTGATATTTTCAGGCTCCCGCTGGAGGGCGTACTCAAGCCCTGCGATCGCGAATATAATATTAGATTTTGTATTTTATGATATTATCTAGCGTTGCTTTTCAGTTTTTGGAGTCAGCCAGAGGAAGATTTGGATGGTAGTAGAATAATTCGGGGAAATAATTTTACTTAATTTTTCGGTATTGCTGTGAAGCAGTAAAACATAGAACAATAGTTTTACGTCATTCCGTGCATTATTTACTAAGCAATACAGAAATACTAAATAAAACTATATTAGCGAATTCTGCTATCATCCATTTTCCAGCCTCTTACTCCAAAGTATATCTTAATTTTAGCAGATTTTTTTGAATATTTCAAATTTAATTAAGAAATAATGCTATATCACAACTTTTATTGATATTTTTTTCTATTCTTTATACAATGGGGGTTGTGACGAATTTTATATCATTTTCTAGTCTTTTAGTTTCTTTTCAAGTATTTTTCTCCTATGAAGGAATTATTCGAAAAGAGTTACAAGATTTCACCCAGTCGAGGTACAACCATGGATTCTAAAGCGGTACAACACTATTCGAGGTACAACAATCCTTATTCATTTATTTATTTGCCTACTAAATTTTAAAAATCCTAATACACTATTACATAATAGTCAATGTAATTACACGAATAATGGAAATTTATATTTGGATTTCGCATTCTGAAATATCATAAACCACCGCCATCACCTTTGTTTCTGAAAATTTTCGCATTCGCGATCACAGCCCTCGAATACACCATCTGGAGGGTGAGAAGACCGGTTCTATGCCTTGACCCTACCCCATCAATCTCCTCCTCTTCTCAGTTGTATGGGAATTATTTTTACATATTATTTTCCCATATTATTTTTTGAATTTAATAGTTAAACATTTTTTCTAAAATTTCCACGACGTCTTCTTTTAGAACTATATATAATGCAGTTTTCATTTCCATGTAGTTTTCTAACTTAAAAGTTTGAAGATAGAAACTAACATACATCCTTCTTCCACAACTATGCAGTCCCGCAGTGGACTGATCGTTA